ACCTTGGGGGACCTTGGCAGTAAGACCTCAGGAGGAAATGAGGACATTTTTGGAAGCTAGAGCCCGCTGTGTCTTAGCAGAAGGCTTAGCACACTGCCCTCCGTGGCGACACGGAGGGCAGAAACGGGCCGAATGAGCCGGGGCCCCACGCAGGAGACTGCCCAACGAGCTGTTGGGAGAGTCTGTCTGGTTTCTTCCCGCTGCTTGGAGTAAAATGAAAGAGGGGGTGTAAAGAAGCAAGGGGTGTTAAAAAGGAACCAGGACGTGATAGTTTTGAAAATTCTCCACTTCTCCAAAGAGTAGAGGATACTGCGATGAAGAAATGTCTTCTGAGCAAATATCAAATGCAGGGCATAAGCAGCAGACAGTAGCCCAGTGACTCCACAACCTTGGTGAAGATCTGGAAAGATGGAGGGTGGTTGTCCACAGGGTGAATCGGTCACAAAAGGCCTGTGAAGAGATTGAGGGTGTGTCCCCAGAGCCTCTCCGACAAGAGGGCCTCTACGGAGCTCCGGGTGCGACCAGGGTAGGGGTAGACTTATCTGGAAGAAATCTGTGGGTGCCTTTTGTCTGATGGGGTGAGCCACAGAGGGATTCACGGGAGGCCAACAAAGGTTTGGGGAGAATCACTCTAGCAAAACACTGGCAGTCTGGGCTGAATGGAATGAGAACTCCTCGAAAGGCAAGGGGGCAGTTGCACCTTCAAAGTCTACGGGGCAGGAAGCAGGCTCAGCTGCAGGCACATGCTGCCTGCCATGGGACGGATCGATGACGGGAAGCGGGGGGATAGAGCCAAGAGCCCGGAAGGCGGAGCCAGGAACCACGCAGAACTATTCTCAGGCTCCAAGACCACTCAAGGAACTGCCAACATGTATCTGACCAGATTTCAGAACGGCTATGGACCAATCCTGAAGCTTTCCGTTTTCCCTCTTGAAAAGGAATGTCCACCCACCGTTGATGCTGTATGTTGAGTGTGTGTCAGGGGGAGGCAGATAACTCACCTCTGTGGCTCCAGAGACCTACAGATTATAGGGACTGTCCCCAAGGCGCCTCACCTACACCTAGATCTGACCTAGACACTTCCAGACTTCGGGGCCGTGACGGGGCTGTGACGGGGAGTCGGGAGGACCCTGGAAGGGGACGGATGTGTTCTGCATGTGAGAGGGATATCAGTCACTGGGGGTCAGAGGACAGACTGGCAGACAGTCTCGGAGAGGGCCCCCAGCGATACTCCCTCCCTGGCATTCACACCCTTGTACAACCCCAACTTTCTGGCTGTGGGCTAGCCTTAGTGACTTGTTACCAATGAACAGAATTCTGCTGCGTGATACAACATGTTTGCTTTTTACTCTGAATTTGAAAGAATTTTGATTTCACAGAAAAACTACAAGGATGCAAATAATAACAAGTAAAGCCAGTAGCTAACGTTCACAGCGAATCTTCAGATCTCACGCACTTCACCATCGCGGCACAGTCCTGCTGTGCTATGGAACTGCCTTACCGTCCTGGCTCTGTGCCCCATGTAACAGCGAGCAAGATGTTCCTGTCTGAGCCTCAGTTTCCCTATCTATAAAGTGGGGACATCTATGCCATCTCTATGCCATGGAGTAGTTGTGAGCATCGCCATATACACGGCATCGTGCCTGGTATTAACTCCCTTGACTAGATGCATCCAAGTCTCCTGTATGCCTGACCTTGCTCGGGGACGTCATGACCAACCCACAACCCCCCCACCCCACCCCTGCAAGGCCAAGTGGCCATCCCTGCCTTCCTCCTCTTCTCCTCCATCTGGTCACTCGATGAAATCTGAAGAAGGTGCTCCTTCCTTCACACACTTCGCTTCTTCCACCTCCTCTATCTCCCGTCTTCATTCCTTCTAAGAAATGAAGTAGAACCTAGCTGGTCACCCCGCGTCCATCCTTTTCCTGCCAAGTTCATTCTACAGCCAGAATGCTCACATTGGGCTAATGTCTCCCTTTGCCCAAAGCTTCTGCATCGCTGCAGCCTATTATAATGCGTCAGACACTGCCCTTCACATACGCGATAGAATTTAATCCTCACAAGGTAGGTGCTTCTGGACGAAGAACAAGAATGTTCGTGGGGTAGAGTTCCCTGCCCGAGGTAGGAGGGCTGGGAGGTGGAGGGGGCCGGGCTTTAGCCATCACACCCCCCTCCCAAGTCCCATAAGACGACGATCAACCCCAGCTCCCACGTGCCTCACCTCTGGTGTCCCCCAAGTCTGCAAAGCATCTCCATTCAATCCTTATCTGTCTCTCACACAAACCCTTTGAGGTCCTCAGTGGCCTGCCGAAGGCCCCCTGCAGACGGTGCGTGTGTGACGCCCACCTGGAGCGTCTGAGGCGTCATCCAGTTCCCAGCCTGCCCCTTCGCTGCCTGGCCACCTCACTGACCGATGCCCCCACCCCTTCGATCAGACCTTCTGCACACGGCCGCCGACTGGAGTGGAAAGGGCGGACCTCCCTCCACACCGCTCACCTGAGCTATCAAGTCTCCATTTTCCGCGTGGACCAAGATCACAGCTCCCAGCCCCTTAAGGAAGGTGAAGGCTTCATAGAGCTGGGGAAGAACAAACAGGGGTTGGGGGAGATTTAAAAAAAAATATCACAGCCTGAACAACTGCGAAGAGTGTTCTGCTCATGCACAGTCACCCACCCGCCGGCGGCCGCGGCACGACCATTCTGTTCACGCGGATGGAAAGTTAAGCCTTGGAGAGGATCTCCCTTTGACCCTGGCGCCCTCTGGACGCTAAAGCAGGAGGCTGCGGGTAGGGCAGAACCGATCAAAGCCGCACCGTGGCACAATATGCCTTCCGTCTTGGTGCCCACCCGCGCCTTTCGTGTTCGCTGCGGCCCTGCTCCATTGACGTGCCTTCAGCTGCCGCCGGGGACAACGAGGGTGCAAAGCTGGTTTTCGTTTTACTGAGACTGTGTAACTGAATGCGCTCAGCCTGTCCTGCGGCACCCGGGGGGTTTGTACTGCTCTATGAGAACTTGAACGCGTGTCATTTTCCAGACCACGGTGGGGCGGGGGTCGAAGTCTACAAGAACTCTTAACACTCAGGTCATATGCACCCTGCCAGGCAACCCCTTATGTAGGCAGTACAGGTCCCGCCCACCGCCCCTGCCCTCTTCCCACCTGCAAAGGATCAGCACTCAGACATTTGCACGCGGTGAGGCCCAAAGCCCCCACATTCCTTCTCCGGGGCCTCTCGAATTTTACCTTCGTTCTCCAAGTGTGCAAGGCAGCACCCCACCCTGGGATGTGTACTTTTCTACGGAGATGGCAGGCGGGGAGGATACATAGGGGCAGGAAGCACCTTCCAGGACCCCCATCGCTCAACTCCACCTGTCCGTGGGGGTTGGCGGTTAGAATAGAACAGGTGAAAAGTTCAGTTATGCTAGACAGACTCATGCTACTTTGTCATGAGACTGAGCCAGTTTTAGCCTTTTGGTGACACAGCAGAGGCCTCCAGGGCATCTGGGGGTAAATGATTCTCTATAACTGCGCGTGTTTATTTTGAAAGGCAAGACACGGAAGCATCTCCCATCATACATCGAAGGCATTACAGCTTACTGGCATCCATATGTGCCAGGCACTGCCCTGGAGCCTCGTGTGAACTCATCCAATCCTCTGACAACCTTCATGAGGCTCTTAGGAGTCTAAAGCAGAGAGGTTGAGAAAGCTGCCTCGGGCTGCCCAGCAAGGCCAAAGCTTGCGGCCAAGCAGTCTGGCTGTTGCATCCCTGCCCTTTACCAGTGCACCACCCTGCCTTTTTAACCAGCAGAGGGCAGGGCACTGAAAACAAAACAAACCAGGAGCCCCAGTGGCGTCAGAAGGCCAAGCGCCCGGCAGACAGTCACTGCGTCACCTGTACCATCGAGCCGCACCTTCTGTATAGCGGCTGTCCCCACACGACAATTGTTTGAAGCCGGCACGGCCAGAGATGACCGCCTTGCACAGGTGAGAAAACTCAGGGAGGGAGTGGCCCCAGTCACTCAACTGGCCGGAGAGACAGCCAGGACTCTCCTCTGAGTCAGAGCTAACGGCATGGTCCCCACTCCTCTGGGTCAGAGCTAACGGCATGGTCCCCAAACTTGCTAGAGCCCCAGGATGAACTGCACAGCTTTTGGAAAGTCTGTGATAGGATCTGAGTCTGTCTTTTCAATGAGCGTTTAAGAGGATGCTAAGGATGAGCTGGGTTTGGGAACCACCGTGCAAGGGACCCCCCCACTCCACCCTACTCTAGGAGCCAGAAAGGAATGCAGGCCCAGCAGGCGTGGGGACTGACACAGGTCACTCGGCGATTTAGAGGACAGACCGGGACTTGAACCCAGACCTCTCCCCTGCCCCTTCTCACAGCTCCCTTGCCCTGTGCTGTCTTGCCCGACACGGTGGCCTATTCCTGCCCAGGAGAGGAGGTGTGCAGGAGGACCTACCTGGCTATCAGACATCTGGTAGAGATCCTTGTACGCCATGTAGACTTGGAAGGAATTGACACCTGTTTCAAGATGAAAAAAGAGAACAGAAAAATGCATTAAGAAAAAAGAAGGGTGACTCTCCAGTCAATGATCACAGTACAGAGTGCTGACCCCTAGGATAGAGGGCTGCCGCTGGGATTCACAGTGGGGACACCGAACCCAGCCTGAGGGTATGGGGAGGAGGGTCAAAGGAAGCTTCTAGGAAAGTCACACAGGCTGAATCTGAAGGAGAAGAAGGGGGCGTGGAAGGGAAGGAGGGGGAGGAGGGGGAGAGGTGGGGGAACCATTTGGATTGAGAGGGGGTGTGCATGGGTGAGGACAGTAGGGAGGATGAAAAGACACACGATGTGAAGGTACTAGAAGTGTCCTACAGCGGGATCCAAGGGACCACGTGGGGTTTTTTTAATCCCTTATTTTTTATGTTAAAATCCATAGAATGGAATTCACCATCACCGCCATTGTGAAGTGTGCATTTCAGTGGCGTTGAGTGCATTCAACAGGTTGTGCAACCATCACCACGATCTACTGGAGCGTGTGTTTCTAAAGCAAGAAGTGACATGATCAGGCTTTTTTTTGTCTCAGAAAGACCATGCTGGAAGCAGTGTGGAGGATGGGGGGTGGGTCTGCAGAACAGCAGAGAGAAATGGCAGCTCGTAGGGTGATGGTGAGAGCAAATGGGACAGGTGTGCAGAGACTCTGAGCCTGGACAGGAGCTGCAGGGTCGGGGGAGGATTCGAAAAGGTGGAAATGGCAGGCTTTCATGTGCTGTGTGGACAGGCCAGCAGGGAGCACGGGACGTAGGGGACTCTTCCCTAACACACCTTCCAGTTGCTTGAGGACAGGCACCATGTCTTAAATCCGACTTTATTATTTTTTAATGTTTATTTATTTTTTAATACTTTTTTTAATGTTTATTTTTGAGAGAGAGACAGAACATGAGCGGGACAGGGGCAGAGAGAGAGGGAGACACAGAATCCGAAGACAGGCTCCAGGCTTGAGCTGTCAGCACAGAGCCGGATGTGGGGCTCAAACTCACAAAGCATGAGATCACGACCTGAACCCAAGCCGGACGCTTAACAGACTGAGCCACCCAGGCACCTCTTAAATACTATTTTAATTTGCACACCCATAATAGGTGCTGTGCAATTACTGCTTGTTCATGGAATCCAGAGGTGTCTGGATAATATGAGTTGAAGGCAAACCATGAAATGGGATTTAGAATTCCTTTATACTAAATAATGGTGAAGACACACCAAAAATCTTTTCTTGTGTAGAAAACCCTGGCAACAAAAATTCCTTGTCAAATTATTAGGAAAAATTTAAAGGAAAAGTAATATTCGGAAAGCAACATTAAAAGTATCCGTTTCTGGGGTGCCTGAGTGGCTCAGGTGGCTAAGCATCCGACTCTACATCTCAGCTCAGGTCACGATCCGAGGGTCATGCGTTCAAGCCCCGTGTTGGGCTCTGGGTGGACAGTGTAGAGTCTGCTTGGGATTCTCTCTCTCCCTCTCTCTCTGCCCCTTCCTCTCTCTCTCAGAGTAAATAAATAAACCTAAAAATATTTTTTTAAATAAAAAATAAGAACAGCAGACACAGTTATTTGGGGGGGGAGAAGGGTATTATGATGGCAACACAGCCCACGGATCTTCTATTGGGGGGCAACTGGCAAAGCTCTATTTCTTGCCTGAGTAGGGGAGCCTCATCATAATTCATGAAGCCACATTGTTTTTATTTGTGTGGTTTTTCTACTTTCTGCTTTACTTTAGGTTCAAAATATTCAAATAAAAGCAAAGAAGCCAAAAACCCCAAAGGGAAAACAGTACTTTCAGACAATTTAAGAAAAAAAAATGGCTAACTAATAAAGAGAAAAAAAAATTTATTTTATTTGTAATCAAAGTAATTCAAACTAAAACCTCAGCACCGCACAACATCTTAACATATGGTGCCCAGAGCTAGTGAATGTGCATCGAAATGAGTCCCTCTTACATACCAATTTGCACCTGCTTAAAAAACCAATTAAGCCATGCATATCAAGAGTAGTAAACGTTCCAGAATATTCGGCTGGATGCTGCCAGTACTAGCAATGAGCCTAAGGAAACACAGTGGGTCCTGGTATTCACAAAACCTCCCAAATTCACAGATGCCATCATTAAGTTTTTCTCCAAGGAGGCTGCATGAAACACCAGTTCTCAAGGACTGCACTGAACACTTACTGGACTTTCAACCCATTCATAATCCCTTCCAGTTCTTGGCAACCCCACGCTTACTCTCCCCACCTCATAACCTTGGAGGCAGCCATGTCCATACCACGTGACCACAGACCACAGATGGTAGCCTAGGACTGGGCACCTGGCAGAGGCTGAGCTGAGCCAGGAGGAAGGACAGAGTCCAGTTAAAACCCCCAAACACCTGCTGGTCTCTGAAACAGAGATGCACACCCAAAGGGCGGGCCGCTGCATTCCATCATGGTGAGACAGAAGTAGAGGATGCAGGTCAAGGGTGGGGGGAACAGAGCTGGCTCAGAGAGAAAAGCACAGAAGAACAGGAGGCAAGATGCCCTTGCAAAGGATGCTTGGATACACATCATTATCCTAAGGCACATCTGCTCCATTCAACTTAAGCCAAAATCTGGAGGGATTCTGTTGTTTGCAATCAAACACGGGGATGTTGATATCCATATTGGTAAAGAAAACCTGATTCATCAGCAACAAACAGGTTTCTTTACTGCAGGGCTTCCCCCGGATTTTAACATGATAATGTGCATTAAGAATATTCAAGAACAGAATAAACAGAGAGCATTTCCCAAACTTATTGGACCCCAGAAGCCCTTTTTCATGGAATATTTATTTTCTCACTCATCAAATATTTACTGAGTCCTTACTATGCATGAACACCATCCTAGAAGTTAGAGATACAGCTGTGACCCAGGAAGGAAGAAGGATGCCTGCCTACCTTCTTGGAATAAGCAATAAGTGAATAAATAAGCAAGGGCATTTCATGCAGAGATGGGTGCTAGGAAAAAATTAAACAGGCTGATAAATTTTTTAAAGTTTCACAAAGTTCTGCAGTGACTCTGCCTCTCCCCACTCCTTGAATGCGGGCTGGTCTGGAGACGTGTGCCGACCAATGGTCTGAAGCAGAAGTGACGCCATATTGGCTCCAAGCCTCGCCTTGGGGCTTCCGGCTCACTTTGGAGCCTCATGTGAAGGGTGTCGGGAGAGCCTGTGGGAGGACAGGTCATGGAGATGTATGTGTTGCTTATCCATTCACCCATCTATGGACATTTGGTTTGCTTCCACCTTTCGCCTATTGTGCACAATGCTGTACAACTATCTCTTCAAATCCCTGCCTTCAATTCTTCCCGATAAATACCCAGAACTAGAGCTGCTAGACTGTAGGGTGGCTCTATGCTTAATTTCTTGAGGAACCTCCATACTGCTTTCTAAAGTGGCTGCACCATTTTGCATTCCCACCGATGGTACCCAAGGGTTCCCATCTCCCCACAGCCTTGTCAACACTTGTTCTTTTCGGATATTTTGATAACACCCCTTCCATGGGGTGTAAGGTGGTATCTCATTGTGGTTTTAACAGTTGCCGTTTTAACCCACTAGATGTTGGAGTGGTTCGTTCTAAAAACAAAGGCTACCTGATACAGAAATCAGTGCCTGGAGGTCGGGTGCTGCAGTGGCCAAAACCTAAAACATGTGGCCTTGGCCTTGGGACTGGGGAGTGAGTGGAGGTCAGAATAGTCCCGAGGAAACTGTAGGCAAAGGCTGGGGGAAAGTACCCAACAAACTGTTAGTGGAGGGTGGGAAAGGGGCCCTTCATCCTAGGTACTGGCAACACGATGGTAAAACCATGACGAGTAACTTGGAGGAAAATGTACCCGGAGAACTTGCGGGTCTGCCTAAAATGATTTCCATGAAGGACATATTAAGTGCCAGTTGGTTTCTCTAAGCTACATGTGATGAAGCACCAGAAGACACACATCAAAACGGACCTGAGGGACAAGGATCAGGTTGGTTTGCAAGCGAAATTCAGTGAACACACAGGACGACTTCTCCTCTCTACTCTTGCCAATCTGCAAATAGTTCTCAAAGTGAAAAATGACCTCAAGTGTAAGATTCAATCAAGGGTATACCCAGAACTCTTTGTTAAGTCCTCATAGAAACCCAAGGTGGTACCCAGTAAACTTCTTTGGCCAGACAAAGGGCTTCAAAAAAAATTTTAGTTTTATTTATTTATTTAGAGAAGGTGAGAGAGAGGGAGAGGGAGGGAGAGGGCATGAGCAGGGGAGGGGCAGAGAGAGGGAAAGAGAAAATCCCAACCAGGCTCTGCACCATCACCACAGAGCCCGACGTGGGACTCAAACTCACGAACTGTGAGATCATGACCTGAGTCGAAACCTGGAGTCGAACATTTAACCGACTGAGCCACCCAGGTGCCCCAGGGCTTCTAAGAATCTTATAAGTATCATCACATAGCACACTGACAGTCACCTAAAGTAGAAAGAAGCCTGTCTCAAAAAAAGATTTGTCCGTGGGGTGCCTGGGTGGCTCAGTTGATTGAGCATCCGACTCTTGGTTTCAGCCCAGGTCGCGATCTCACAGTTCATGGGTTTGAGCCCCACGTCAGGCTCTGTGCTGACAGTGCAGAGCCTGCATGGGATTCTTTCTCTCCTTTGTCTCTGCCCCTCCTCTACTCACATATGCACACATGTATGGGGGCGCTCTCTCAAAATACATACATTAAAAAAAATTTGTCCAGTGGAGTGTCCATTTGTCCAATGGAGTGAACTACAATGTGACCATTGGAAACCCACAATGTTTTTAAGAAAAGTATACCCTCTGTGACTAAAAGAGACTGAGCCTGTTCAAAATGAACTTTCCATGGGTAGGGAAAAGGATGAGAAAGGTACTTTGCTGCAAACATGGGTCACTTTTATGGAAAGCAAACTATATCTCTAAGGGTCTGGCCACGAGTCCAGAGGGTAGAGCCTGAGCTATGCAAGCAATGGCCT